TATTTCTTATTGTCGTAAATTATTATTGATGTTTAGGTTATAAGTATTATTATACATATATGCATATATGTATATTTATATACTTTTCTTTATATAAATATCTCGGAATTATTGTTCGAACAGCATTAGATCTTAGCCTAGGCATTATAATTTATATTATTGTTTTTTATTCTTTTAATATATTATACGTTATACTATTTATTTTTAGAAAAATCACTTAAAAATATACGTAACAAATATTCAATGCACAATATCATTATAAAATATACATTTTCGAATAATTGTAAATGTTTTTAATAAACTGAATTATAATTAACTCTATATTACTTTATAAGAAATGAATGTCTTAGATAATTATATTGTTTTGACTTTCTGTTTGAAGTGTAATTAAAAAGCAGTAATCAACTAATTATTACTCTCTAATAAGTAATTTTGTATATAACACATTAAAATATAAGCTCTTAATGAGTTAACCCATCATACATCATGATTAAAGACTTATTAGGCCTGTCACTACTTTAATGCAAGAATGAGTGCATACTCGTACAACTTTCATTTGAGGGATCCACTCAGGACTCGATTTACTTAATAAAATTAGTCGATATTAAAATTATTTTCAAATATATTTTTCCTGATTTATTTGGAGCCTCTATTGATCAATTATTAATGTATTTAGTCGAATATAGGCCTGCTATTTAATAATTTATTGGCAACAATTATAATTTAAATTTAATTTTCGCAATATCAAAGAAAATTATTTGTTATCGCAAATAAGATTTACAAATAACTTGATTCAATAACCATTAATTTATCGTTAAATACTGATACTCATTCATTTTTACTCTGGTTAATATTGAGAAACATTTATATTACTAACCACGGGTACAGATCCCCAAAATGTTTATGCCGAAAAACTTAATAGAATTTTACAACTATATAAGATAAACTATAATTCATAAAACATAATATCAAGATATAAACAAGTCGTTTAAACCATTATTTGGATAAATCAATTATCAGACCAAAACAAATAAAATTTAACTACTTATAACTTGATAGTACGCACATATATGGCTCTTTTTAAACTATACATATACATGCACATGGCACACATATTATAATATATATAATATTTTGCGTGTGTGTTTGTGTGTGTTTGCGCGCGCCTGCGTGCATGTATATGTAATTGCGTATATATATATATATATATATATATATATATATATATATATATATTCATGATTATATTTACAAGAAATAAATGGCTCTAAAATTAAAAGAACTTATAGACATAGTTAACTGCGAAATACGAAACAATTATTGTCGATTTTACGTTATTGATTCAATAAATTCCTAGATTAAATACAAAGATAATATAATTATAAAAGTAATAGAAATATTAAAAAAAAGTATATATATTTACCTAAAAATTATGCTTTAGCAAATATACTTTGCATTAGAGTTTTTATAAGTATTGTAAAAATATTTTCGAAGAAAATGTCCTATAAACGCGTCGGTAAAGTAGCTTTAATTACAATATAAAATAAAATAAACAAATCTTCTTATAGAAAAGAATACATTTTTCAGCAATATTTCAGCAGCAACTTTATCAAATATTACGATTATGAAACGCGAATTTTGTATACATGCCGGTATTGACACTTAATATAGCATAACAAGACAATATAGAGCCGGCCTAAAAGCCAGGCTATTTCTCTTTCAACTATCGCATAAATGTAATATCATTACGACGCATGTATTATTTACGTTTGCACATGTGCCCACGCGCAACATGCAAACACAAACAGTAACCTAACAAACAAACAAACCAACACGCGCGCGCGCACACACACACACACACACACACACACACACACACACGTGTGAATATGAATATATGTACACATATACATATTCATTTTAATTAATGGTTATAAATAAATATATGTATACGTATATATATATATATATGTAATATACATTCATACATACTGTCCAGTGACTTTGTAGGTAAATTATTTATTCTCTTTATATTATATGTATATATTAATAATCCCGTAATAAAGATTCAATCTTAGCTCGCAATTTTTATTTAAAAAGGTCTCGCGTAAATTGACTAATTTCATAAGAAATAGATATTTATTTTATTCTCTCTCTCTCTCTCTCTCTCTCTCTCTCTCTCTCTCTCTCTCTCTCTCACCTTTTTCATACGAATAATAGAAACTATACGTAGCTGTTCGAAAAAATTCTTTCGTTGTCTCTACAATACATACTTTCAGATAATATACTTTCACAAACTTTTTTCTTATGTTTTACTTACTTTCATCAAATTACTTTCATATATAGTGTATAATGCCCTTTTCATATTAAAAAAATTTCATTTCTATATCGTAAATTAATACCTCTTGAAAATGAACGTTTCATTGTTAAGTTATTATGTTGTAGAGGTGATTTGAAATATTTGAATGAATGTTACGCAAAATAATTTACTTTATTTTTTCATAAGTTTATACTATATTCTATTAAGTTTTGAGTTTTGATTTTTGTTTAGTGCGATCCATATTTTTAAGAATATATTACTTAACTTTCTCAAAAAGTCATTTAGCGATTATTTTGCATGCATATACTGTTTTATTTCAAATGAAAAATTTTATTTTATAACATATCACTCTTCAAGATATTTTATATAAGTGATTTCATAATTTTGTGTTGTTGACTAATTTTTTCGTACTATCAACGTTTGGCTGTTCTCAAATATTATTTCTTAGTAATTTTTTAATTACAATATATATAAAGTTTTATTAATCTTTATATAACAATATATTTATTGCTATTTTATACAATTTTCAGTTTATTTTTAATTTATAGCCGAGAAGAAATACCTAAAAATGCAGTTGCAGTGCTACTTTATGAGGGATCAACCAGATCTAATTAATTCACTTTAAATTTTGATTTATTTAATATTGCATGATATTGGTATTTTTAATTTTTTTACTTTTTTAGCATTTTGTTTTTAAATTTTATTATTAATTACTTTAGTATTGATTTAAGATGGCTTATATCGTTCTTAAAAGTGCAAATTTTAAATAAGTGCAATTATTGTCAACCTGATGGAAGTTAAAACTTTCCTATTCGGAATGAAGTGCGATTTGATCATTTGATTATTCAATGTATTATTTAAACTGTGCAAGTTTCGCTGTTATTATCTTAATTAATCTCTTTTTAATTGTTTATTTTTATCAGTGATTAAGTTCATTCGATCAATACTTGTAACTTATAACTTAAAAATTATTGTCTTCTTAATATTTTTATAATTTTATTGTGCTTCATTTAAAAAGTGAATATATCTTTTAACTTATATAAATTTCATTTATAAAATATTAATTTGTATATTAATTAATGTTTATTAGATTATTACATTGAATTTGAGTCTAGTATTCTAGAAATTTTTTAGAGTATAAAACGATTATTTAAAAAAAATTATTAAATTTCATAAAGAAATATTTATAATTTCAAAATGTTTTGATTTTTTCTATGAGCTTCGACTTTTATTTTTCACAATTATAAGACATATTATTTAATACTTTCATTTAGTTTGTCATCAATTCACTTTTCATCTTAATAGTTAATTTATATTTTTGTTTAAATTCATCAACTTTCAAGTGGTTTCAACTGGTTTCAAGTGTTCTTACAAAATATATATTTTGTATCGAATTATCTATTAATAAGTGATCGAACAAGTTAGAATTATTAAATATCAATTATATATATTACTGCATAATTTTATCTGTCCCATTTAGTGTTTTTATATGTTTTAGCAATAACGTTTGCCCTCTTAGGTATTATATTATGAAAAAGTTTTAATTACATACATTAAAATTTGTTATATTATTAATTTTATTTATTTTTGTAGTTTTTGTGAAATTATACTTTTTTGGATGATCAATTGACTTAGAACCGAAAGTCTTTTATCAAACTTAATAAAGGTAAAAACGTTATAATTACCTTATTATCATTTACATTCCGGAACTGATATTCATGAGAGGAGGATTATATATATATATATATTTCTTTTACTATCCATCGATATGTCAAAACTTTTGAAAATTCATTATTTATTTTCCTTGTTTTGATTAGAATGTAAATTGATTTTTTTTAACAAATCCTCCTATAACGAAAGGAATTCCGACAGTTAATCTTTATGCTCGATACCATCATATTTTATATAATTTTTAATATAAAATTATTTTAAAAAATTATGCTAATTTATCGTCATAATACAATGTATTATGCGGGCGCGCGCGAGCGTGCATACACCCACAGCCTCCCACCCACAAACACATACACACATACATACATATATATATATATATATATATATATATATATATATATATATATATATATATAGAATATTATATAATATTATAAAATATTCACGGATTGAATAATTCTTTATAAAGTGATTTGTTTCTCTTGCGAATCTTAGATTTCATAATGAAAATAAAATATGAATTGGCTTCCAAAATATTAATTTTTTTTTTAATTTAAATAAAAATTCTAGTATAAAAATTTGCAGTTATTTATTATAATTTATAAACAGTGTCATATTTCACGACTTTATTAAACATAAAGAAACAAAAAAAAATTTGAAAATTATATACGCATGTATGTATGTATGTACTAAATATAATTCGTAAAATAAGTACTTTCTTGTCTACTGATATTTTCATATCGAGTGCAAATAAAATTTATCGAAATCTAATTCATTAACATAGAGCATCCAAAAATGAATCTTAATTCTTAATTCCTCTCGATGAGCATAAGAAATCAATTTTAAAATTTTAATTAATTTGCACTGCTATTTTGCTTAATCAACGACTAATTATTACAAGTAATTCATAAAATGAACTAAAATAGGAAAGTATTTCACTTTATTGTTGAGCAGCGCCCAAGGAATTCTCAGTTCTTTTAAATGCAGAGCCAGAGCTTGCGCCGGTTTCCCATGGATGTACTTCAATGGCAAAAAGTTGATAAGATAGGTCGAAGTAATTGAAGCCCCGATCCGGTTTGCCAAGATGTCCATTCCATGCCTCTTCACTGCCACTCTTCCTGATTCTGCACGACGTCATGAGTATAATCATCGGTGGTTGCTGGTTGAATGTAAGTCGCGTTGACGGTGCCGCTTGCAAAGGGATTCGTCGAAACAAAGGGATTCCCCTGGCCGATCTCGGTAGCCCCATAGCTGATCGTCGGGTCTTTGTAAATCGGTTTTTCTTGCCGCTGATAATCGTTTGGTAACGCTGGTGGCAGTTGCTGCTGCGGTTGTTTTTCCTGACTCCAATCGTTCACCTCGTTGTCCGTAAGGGATGGTTGTCTCTGCAGAGATGGTTTAAAAAATGATAAAATGGATCAGGCGAGGAATATGAATGGGATAAAAGAACTTGGTAGCTGGTCATCGATAGTGGTAAATGATAGTCAAGAATACTGATTTATTTTATGAAATTATTAATAGGATGATAATGTAAACAAATGAATAATAATCAGCAGTACAACCTAAGACCAATAAACATTTAGTTAAATTATATTATTTTCCTATGCTGACCATATTGACATAAATTAGTACACCTGAGCAAGAAGTCAGCAGTCACTTTTTCAAATATTACTTGAAAAAATAATGAGAATAAATTATATTATACACTTCATTTATTAAATTTCATTATGTTCAAAAAATTTCATCATTATATTCATATTTTATATAAACATCTACCGAAAACTTTATTTTCTGCCTTGAATAATAATATAAATTTAAAATTATATAAATACTATAAATACCTTGAGAAGTATTATTTTAGATTTTTAAAATATGAATTTTTAACAGGCATTTTAAGTAATCGATAATTTTGAAAAAAATTTAATTAAATTATTGAATAAATTGTATAGGCATCGTTAATTAATTTTCTTTTTAAAACAAAATACTTGCAACAATTTCAAGGAAATTTTATGTTCAATATCAACCGTATTATTATAGATATATTTTCATTTGTTAAAATTTTAATTTATAATTAAAATGTTTTAAATATATCAATCTCTTGTAAATTGTCTTGTGTAAATTAGTATAATTAGCTTTCCTATTAGTTTAAATAATGTCAAATATTTTTAATTTTTTCGTTATCATAAAATTATTTTGAATATAAAATATTTTAACAAATTTTGTTTTTATAAATAATGATAAATGCATGTTAAAAAAAATTCGACTGTTGTATATCCGATAAGTTAACTATCTTATGGATTGTATGAGTATTAATTACAATATTATATTTAATATTACATTATCAATTTTTTGTTTAATAGTATAAATTTATTTTTCAACTTTCATAACAATTTATAATTCATTTCGCAATCTAGTTTTTATTTATTTCTTTGACTATATTACAATAGAGTTCATGAATTTGCTTTTGTTTGAAAAATCATGTAACTCTACGACAAACACATTATTGTATGAATTTTCATTAGAATCACATCCCCTAAATTAACTCTTCGTTTCTTAATTTTAATTTTATTAAAAATCTATTTTGATTAATTTGGGATAAAAAAAAAATTAAAAACGTTTATAAACATAACATGAAAAGAAGTATTTAATAATTTTCATTTGTAAAAAATTATAAGACAATATCATGAATTAAACTAATGGTTTAATAAACGTTATGAGGAAGTTTTTGCATAAGCTTCACATTGAATAAATCGTTATATATAAATTCAGACCGAATTATAATTACAACAATTTATACTTTATGGTTTAGTGTTACATTATCAAGCAATAGTCGCGCAACATTAATAAATATAAATGGCTTTATTGACATTAGATGATTTTATTAAATAAAACATTATATAAAATCAATAAATTAACTTATTAGAAATTATGATTTAAATGAAGTGGAACTAATATAATTCTATTATAATACATATTATTTTGGTGTATGTGCCTATGTGTATATTTATCATTATTTTCAGTCTACATGTGTAAAATTTTTATCTATCTATCCGCATATTTTTATTATTCTAAGAAGATCAAGAAGGAGAGTTTAATTGCCAATAATTATATAAACACGGTAATATAACTATTTAAGGTGTCTGAATTTTTTTTAATCGATATAAGCATGTAAAAGAGGTAATGCATGAAAATCGTAAAAAAATGTAATTCTAAAGCTATAAATATATTCGTGCGTTATTTAAAAAAAAGCACTTAATATTTAATGATTATTAGAGTGTTTTATTAGATATGTTTTATTGTCAATAATACTTATATGGTATTTTTATACATATAATGAAGCAAATTTTATATGTAATATAAATAATATTATCAAAATCTAAATCTAAAGTATCATTCTTCGCAAACTCAATAGACTCTAAGTCAACATCTAAGAATATTATATTTTTATCTGTATGCTTATATAATAGAATATAATAATTTATATAAAAAATGAACGAACTTACGATAAATTGTGTTTGCATAACTTGAGGTGGTGGTGGTACGGGAGGTCGTCTGTGTGCCAGATCATCTAGAGGATTCCAACTGGCTTTCTCTTCAGTCAAAGGATCAGCCCAAGGTTGTAGCTCGCCTGAGCAAAATATCGCATAGAATGTAACCCCAACGAAGTGTACGCAAGCAGCCGTGACAAAAACATTGCGCCAGCTATGCGGATCCTTATGCCTTGTAATGTTGTCGACGAAGAAGGGCACAAGGAGGCCGGCTATGGTGCCGATTCCATTTGACATGCCCATGAGAATGCTAGCGTATCGCGGCGCTATATCCAGATGATTAACGTTGAAACCGGAAATGGCAAAGCCGCTACAGGCCACACCAATTGTAAGAGCTAATGTTGCTGCGGCCCCATTTCTATGAGTTGTACAGTTGGCTACGACGAGAAAGAAGATGGCTTCCATGCCGAAACCCCCGCAGTTAAAAAGCTTACGTACGTTCGTAGTGGACATGATACCACGCTTGCGCAGGTAATCTGCCAGCAGACCTCCGCATGGCACGATCATTGTCATGAGCAGGTGTGGCACAGAACCCAGGATCCCTGTCTATATTCAGAATTTTCTCTTTAGCTCGATGTTTCTTTCTCAATTTATATAACTTTTTTTTGACATTTTTTTCATTTTTTGACATTCTTTATATATTTAGTACGGTGTAAATGTGCTAGATTCAATTAAAAACTATTCAAATTCTGAAATGTTATGAAATTAGTATTACAAATTACTATTATAAATTAGTATATAGTTTGTTGTACCAATGTTATGAATTTTTAATATCCAAAAAATAATCTTTGGTTAAAATATCGATAGAATGCAGCTAATTCTGTTAGCTGTAATTATAGTGTGACTATTTTATTAGTTCTAGATAATTTTTATAGATATTTCAATATCGATAAGCAGTATCTCGAATTAATATTGTTATTACAAAAATCATAAAGTACAACAGGCAGAAAATTAACCTCAACGACAGGCATGTCGAAAGCCTCGTGCATAAAACGACCTTGAAAAAGCACGAGCAGATAAAAATTCCAAGATCTGCAGAAGTTAGCGACAATGATAGCGTATACAGGCATCGACGTAAAGAACTTTCGCCAGGGTGTTGTCCATAATGTCGGCATGGGCTGATTTGCCTGCCCTTGGCCTAGAGAATCCTCGATATAGCGTAACTCACGCGCTGAGATGCACGGATGTTTCGAAGGCTTTTCAAACGAGAGCCAAAGCCAAAAACAATACCATATAATTCCAAAAATACCTGAAAGCATATTTTCTTGATTCTTCAAGGAGGTTTTAAAAATATTAAGAATCGGAGCTATTTTTATATAAATGAATATGAAGCCATAGGGTGTCGATGAAAAAAAAAAAATTAAATATTTAAAGTAATTAATCTATAAATATATAATTTATTTATTAATTTTGTGAGAAATTGGGAGAAAAAATAACAAAAAATATGCATTAAGTGAGAATTAAATTTAATATTGAGGTCTTCTTAATATTGGTGGTAAACATTAACGTAAATATTCGATAGAATAGATATAAATATTTGTATATAAAAATAATGCCACACAGTAAAATGAGACTTTTATTAACTATTATAACAAAATTAACTTGCCATAAAAGTAGAAAGAAGCAGTCCATCCAAGCCAATTACTTAGCACACCGGATAGCGGAATTCCTATGACAACAGCAGCATACGAACCACAAAATGCTAGAGTCGCCAATCGAGATCTTTCAAGAGGTGGAGCCCAATATTTCCATATACCATGACATGCTGGATATGTGACACCCTAAACAAATAGTAAATTTAAATTATCACTTTTAATTATTATTTTTTAATGAAATTTCTTATCCAAACTGATAAATCAAATATTGTAAAGCAATAAGAATGAGAATGACGATAACAATAACGCTGATAATGATGAGAACGATGATGATAAGAATATCAATAACAACAATAATAGTAGTAATGGTTAATAACATAAACTATGTGCTATTTTATAAAATTCTAAAAGTATTGGACGGCTAAGAAATACAATGTATAATAATATAGGTAAACGAATAGATAGTAAATTTTTCGCACACCTCGACTAGGCCCTTGCATACTTGAACGAACATATCGACGACGGGACTTAAACTGAGGGCGCCAGGTACAAGGAGATTGAGAAAGGAGGATATGACGATGGCCAGACCAAATATCCGATTGGCAGGGTAAAGGGAAGCGAGGAAGCCACCTGGCACCTGTGTCACCAAATAGCCCCAGAAGAAGGATGAGTCGACGGCACTCTGGGTTCCCACAGTCCAATTGAAAATATTTTCTGAACTATTGCTCATCTTCAACTTGGCCATACCCATATTGCATCGCATACCAAATGAGATAATAAAACCTGTGTTATAAACGAGAGTGGAAATTGTAAAAAAAATGAACGATTATATATCATGTCGGTAATATTTTCTGCTAAATAAACTAGATAAGCAATTTTTGAGTGTGCGTGTGCGTGTGCGTGTGCGCGTGCGTGTGCGTGTGCGTGTGTGTGTGTTAAGGATGATATAAAACATCTAAAAGCCTTCTAAATGTATAAATAATCGTATTATAAACTTAATATATTGTATCAAATATTAAATGTTGCATATTTTAAAACAAACACAGTTTTAAATAATTCATTTCAAAATGTATGTACGATTGATAAAAATAAATTATCAATGAAGAATTATATTATTATATTATTATATATATTTATATATATTTATTAATATATTTATAATATATAATATATAATATAATATATAATATTTATAAATACATAAATATTATATTATATTATATTATAAAAAATCAATTATACTATATAATTATACTTATAACTTATAATCATTGCTCTTGAAAAATCTATTTTTTTTACACTGCATGTTGTATTTTTATATCATTAAAAAAATTATAAAATATAAATGTGAAGAATTTATTTTTTAACCTTTAATTTCGAAGTCTTCGTAACATTGATTATTAAGTAATGCATAGTACGTAGTAAAACGTTTGTGCTTACCCATACAGGCTAAAAGAGCGATGGTGTACCTCTTGGATAAACAGGGACATTCGGGCATACAGTAAGTATCAATGTGGCGCAAGGGTGGTCTTTCCGGTTCCGGTAGTGCATCTAGTGAGATTTGTTTATTGAACCCTCTCATCGTCTCATCCTCGAAGGCCAAATTTTCTTTGATGTGCTCGCTCGGCATTTCAAACTCCTCGTATCCGGCATTTTCCCCACCTCCACCTCTTCTTATACTGTGCCATTAACCCAAATTTATTTGGATATCAAAACACAAAACGTTAAATAATAAATTTGTTTATATTGTAAGTTTGTAATATTAGAGAGGAAAGTTGTTGCCATTTTATAATATTTACATATATATTTAAGAGCGTTCATTGATTTGACTGATTTATAATATACCATTAATACTTTGTTTGAGAATCATTGCTCATTTTTCAATAAAAAATACATAATAAGAATACGCAATATAATGTAGATAAAAAAAATCAAAAGTAGTAAATGAAAATTTCACGCCTGTTTGTTTGAAAAATCAAAGTTTATTTGAAAGAGTATTTGATATTTGTGATCTTATCAACAGTGAGATTTAAATGTAATCACCTTACCTCGAAAGTTTCTGAGAAGCTTTGTTCTTAAGGGAATCGAAGGCCGCGAGACCCGCCGTCGCAAATCCGGACATTTTTCAATTATTGGGGTTGTTCTTGCTGTCGTAATGATTACCCTGTTCTTATGCAGCCCCTAAAATAGAATTTCAGTCTTATTAATTAGTGTAATTATTATTTTTAATTAAATTCAATATTAAAATACAACATTTCAATGTATGCTAAAAAGGCATTTACAGAATAACATACATAGAACGATAAATTTAATGTCTATAATGAAAATTTCAGCTCCGTTTTTATTATTGAATATCGAAACTTCTTTATTCTGAATCGCACAATAATATTATAAAATATAATAAATCTTAGATTCCAATAATAATCTCAACTTATTCGTATCATAAAATGTCTACCAAAACAAATACAATTAAATAGAGCTTACATAAAATACTTATATAAAATATTAAATTCTTTACCAAAATATTGCAAATATGTGGTATAAATATCTAAATTCGAAAAAAAATGATAGAGTAAATGGTCTCTCAATATAATAAATTCTGTGACTGAAGAAACCAAATTTCGTCTAACGTATAAAAGTCAGCAATTCATGAACTTGGAAACCTTTCCTTTTGCTTATAAAGTCTCAGTTGAAAGGCACGCTTAAGTTAAGCCTTAAAAATGAAGTTCAAAAGCTCCATTGCTAGTTGGAGAAAGTAGACTACCTCCGGTGAATAATCAGTCGCGCCGTGTTTCGGACCGATAAGGGTCACGCGTCACTTTTCCATATATCTTACTCGGGCCGATAAAATTCGAAGGGCCATGTTATCCATTGGAGTAGTTGAATCACAGCCGCTAAGGGGAAGATAGATCTCGACGGCTGTTTACCTAGAAGCCTCTCTGGACCGTAATCCAGTCCAACCCCCGGGGAGCAGCTATGAGGGCGAGGGCCTCTGTGTAAGTGCGTATAGATGCATGGAAGAGCTCAAGGATTGCGAGCCGCTTGTTCGCGGCTATTCTCCTTTCCCCCTTAACACAGTTGCGGCACCTTCTTATACGTCATGCTGACTCTTTTCATCTTTTGTTACGGGTCGTTATGTGGCTGGTTCACTATACTCCTGGCGCCTCTGCGACTCGACAGCAATGCTAACGCCTCGATTACTCTTACACCCCCGATAAATATATGCCATTCTCTATTCATATCGCTGATGATTCAAATTTCCCAAAGATTACAAAATTTTTTTATTTATTAAGATTACAATTGTCGAACTTGCACGAGATTCAAATATATTATTTGACGTTATAATTTACGACGTGATTTATATCTGAATTGAAGCACAGTTTCCGCATTTATATAAAACTATATATTCATTGGACTGATATTTGAATAACACTTTAGATCTACACTCACGTTATATTACAATATTTAAAAGATAAAAAAAATTATATAAAATACGTGGATTATTCCTATTTGAGGAAAAAAAATTATTAAATAATAAAATTGTGTTAAAATTGCGTAAACTGTACTTTGATTTAGTAATACCATGTGCAGATAATATTTGTAATTTCATTGATAGATATAATATATATATATATATATATATACATATGAATTCATATCCGTATAATTTGTTTAACAAATAATTTTGTTAGTAAGTAGTTAATGAAAGTACATTTGAAATCATTAAATAAATCTATTTATCATAGAAAAGAAAATATTTTATTCAGTAATTGCTACTTTTTTTAAACGGGATGCCTGCGAATGTCATCTACTCTAAATTAGATAATCTAATAGAATTATTCTTATAAAATAGATTATTAAATTTGTCGTTGCTCAAAATAATCTTAAGATAATCATATACATTATAAAATACGGAGAAATAAAACGATACTCTTCCCGACTTAAATAATGAATGTTTGAAGGCGCCAAAAAGTCCCCACAAGATTCTAATACCACGACCTACATACATATATATATATATATACGCGTATTTAGGTACGTAAATAGACGAGTCCAATTCACGCCAGGATACTGCAGAATAATTGATTTTAACGAAAAAATAGACTACAGGGATAAAAAGAGAAGAAGAAAATAAACCCGTACATAAGCCCGTATTAAACACGTAATTCCTATAAACGTAACATCATCATCAATTGGATATTAAAAGCTGATCGACACGTGATCGCTGATAATAGACAATGGACAGGAAGTGCACGACGACACGTGTTATATAGAAGCACAACGAGTAAATGGAAATCAAGTGACAGGAGTGACGAAGAGCTTAGTTAGTAATTGCCTATGCGCCTTTTATCCACACGCACTAATATGAGGGACAGAAAAGTCGTACGGCGCCGGTACAAAAAATCATCGTTCAACATAACTTTAAATACAAGTCCATTGATTTTTTCGTTAAAAATATATTTTGTATTGTCATTTTTTGTTTTCTTTGATCAATACTTTATATAACATGTATCATTAATGCTGCATATGAGATAATTGTTAAATACAGAATGATCATTCCTTTATATATGATTTTATATTTGTTAAAGAAAAAAAAATGGAGAACATAAAATGTAACTTGTACTATTGATTCCCACAATACTTTTATAAATTTCAATCTATATCTTATAGCTATAGGAAATAAGTAATTATTCAAAATTATTTAAAATTTAATATAATTTCAGTATTTTTATAATAATTCACAACTATAAATTTTAACTATTGTCGTGAATCATTTAAACCAGTTTTAAAAAACAAAAAACGCTTCTATTGGAAAAAAATTAAATTCAACGATAAGCTTGCTATAATTGCACATAAATTAAGTATTTCAATTTGTGTCATATTTTATAACAATTTGTGCAAATTTGTGACAAATGTTAACATAAGTATTATGATATTTATTATATCGACATTCAGATTTGTAGAAAGATAAGACCTTCCCTTTACCGTAAAAACATATCTATTTATATTAATTATATGAATTATATTATTATTTATGTAATTAATGTTCATAAAAATGATAATTTATACTTTATACAGTTTTTAAAAGCATTTCATTGTATTGATCCCAGTTCTAGTTCGATAAAACGTCCACGTCCATTTTTCATTTCGTGAGCTTTCACCAAAATGTTCTAAATGACGGAAAGTAGAACTTTCTTAGCTTGTCATTAGAGATCTTAACTTTACGTAGCATAACTCTATAAATGGTGATTAATAATCAAATATGGTGATTAATAATTATGGTGAAAAGAATAAGTAATGCAGTGAAAATTATACGTATGTAAGATAAAAAGGAAGATATAACAAATTGCTCTAAAAAATTTAGCACAGAAATGAAAAATAAAAACGGTAATTATTAATAACGGTGGTGATTGTATTCATAATAATGAAAATTTTCTTTAAACGTACTAAGAAGTCAAAATAGCCCCAAAAAAGTTTCGGCCCAGTTTTTATTCCATTTTCTTTTTTTCTAGTACATTAAAAATGTTTATATACAGCACGAGAAACAAAGATCAAATATATTATAATTATTCCAAAATTAAATTTTGCAGAAAATTTTAAATCCAAAAAAGGATACACTTGGATAAGTCCTACAGTTTTGATACAAAATTTTACTAACGTAATGCCACGACAGAAAGACAAATACACACACTTTCCACTTGACATCGAGATTATCCGAAAAAATTACCAGAAATGTCTATCAAATCTCTTCTTTTATAAGGACGAGATACCTAAAAAAAAAAAAAAAAAAAATCATAAAGCGTAGAAAGAGCACGTTGATCTCCAACATCCTGCCTACAGTCCTCTACCACCGCTTGATCCCCCAGAGGGAATCACTGACAAGGAACGAGCACTGATCACCTTTGGCATATCACACTCGCGAATTAAATAGCGCTTCCGGACGAACGAAAAGGCGGAAGAACGTGAACCAAAGTTTCAGGAAGTACAGTAAATCAGTATTGCAGATGATAAATGGATGAGAGTAAAGATGGGGATTAAAATAACTCACCAATAATTAGTCCAGATTGTGTCACTGGCGGAGCGGGTTTGGGGAAAACGCGCGGGCCTCTACGCGCGGCTCGCGGGCTCTATCTCATTCGGGACGAATTGCTAGGAATCGCGCCGCAACGGCGGTGGTGGCGGTGGCGGCGGCAGCAGCGGCGGTGGCTACGGCGGCTGCGGCAGCGGCGGCGGTCATTACGGCCCCTCGCGGGGGTGGAAGGATGCGCGCGCGTACACGTCGATTGGCGCACGATGTCGCGGCGCATCGACGCCTCGAGCCAATAGCGGGCGAGCCCAGCTGAGCGCGGATCGACCCCGGGCGGAGCTTGCGGACGAGGATGACGAGGAAGACGAGGACGGCGGTGCCGTCGGCGACCCGGCCGACAGCCCCGGTAATGGAAGTATTGGTAACGGCGCGCGAGCCCTCGGTCGCATTAAGGGGCACTTTGGTTCGTAAGCTTTTCGCTGGAGGCTAAGCGCCCCGTAATAGCCGCGAATATTTTCATCGCTTGCTAAGCACTTTGCAGCGATGACTCGATGCGATTAGCGAACGAATGGACAAACTGTTTTACTAGTGATGCACGTCCCGTGGGTCTCACCCTCGCTTCATTTACCGTACGGAGATTGCAATAGGAGGGTGAAGCGCGTTGCTTTTATTGAAAACTTACGTCTTAATATAATCGAATCAGCAAAATGGTTGCTTCGATCGAATGAATCGAATGAAAATATTGGGATTATGTTTTAAGATATTTGTCGGATTCTTATTTTATAATGCTGCTTGGATTAATTGTTTAGTAAAATCCTAGTGTTACTAAATTATCGATGGGATTTTCTATCAATGGTAGTTCTGTTAATGAAAATTAATAAAGTGAAAGCTTATGCCAATAGAATGCAGTGGTCTACATTACATTTGGATAGTTCGATTTAATTTTTTTTTTTTTTATTGTATTTTTCAATGTTAAAGTATTTTACTTCTTATTTAGACTCATTGTATTATATAAATAAATGTAGAATATTTTTATAATTATCTATGTAATGATATGCTGAACTCGTTACTTATATTGAAAGTATTAATTATGT